CCTTTCACCCCTTCCCAGCTAGATTACTTTTCTATTCTAAATTTCTAGTATCTTCAATTTCTGTTAATTAATAATAATTAAAGCTAAAATATTGTATATATTTAAAACACTATGGTACGAATAAATGTCGTATTGTATTGATGGTTTTGTTGTCTTTTCGTGCTCTTTTCTATAGACTTATAAATATCTTCGTTGTTGTCGTTTTTGCTGTAAATTGATAGTAGTGGTGGGAAGATGTGACCATGCTTTTCCTTCCGCTATTGTCGTTGTCATAGTGACGATATTGCTCATTAAGTTACTATTGTTGCAGCAGGCAATAGCATGTGGCATGCATGCGGCATGCTATTGCTCCTTGATATGACGGTGAAAAACTGTTATTGATTTCTTTTTGACGACCATTTTCATTCTTTCATTTTACTGTTACTGTTACTGTAACTGTCATCCTTATTGTTGTTACTACTGTTGCTGTTGTTGTTTTTGTATGATGCATCTCGTATGCAGCAGTATCAGGCTTTACATTTGTTTCCTTGCATTATGCTACTGAAAGAAAATTTGTGGTGATGCTATAGTTTTTTGTTGTTTACTAGAAGTTCTCTCTCATCACAGGATGCATTCCTCCTCTCGTGTGTCAAACGACCTATCCCTGCATGGGCAGCCCTGTGTACAGCGATGATAAAACAAACTCACAACAGAAAAGTAAGAAAATCAGGCTTCTTGAAAGAATTCTGAAACACAGTACACGTCCAGATGGCCGTGCCCGTAAGATGGTCACTTTTCTTGTAGGGTCGTTGAAAAGAAACCAGTAAAGAAGAAGAGCGGAGATTAGCAAAACGTTGCGCCAAATGCCGGAATGTAACAATCAATTTACCATTACGGCTTGGGCGTAATGTTTTTCCATTGAAGATCACGTGTATTCCCTAGAGTGTGATTTCTTTGTTTAACGGTTTGTTTAACAAACAATCTTATTCTGAACTGATCTGAAATGGGAAAATATTACTCGCCAAACATTACAAAACTATGTTATCGTTACAAGACTATATTATTCTAAATTTGTCAGAAACTGATGATAATGTATTTTAACCCCCTAAAAATAAATCCATCAATGATTGAAATAAACTACTTAGAATTTTCCAAAACTAAGCTCTTGAGGATCCTCTAAAACGTCTCTTTATCGGCGCGCAATATTTCTTCTTGCTGTACATACTATACACTGAATCGAAATATGACTAGTAGCTTCTCATACATGTGAACGCGTTTTTATTTTGCCATTGACCACGAGGCCAGTCAGGTCCAGAAAAGTAGTCAATTCTCTGATATTGGCCGCCATATTTCGACGATTCGTTCAGTGTATTGTAAAGACCGAAATAAATTTACTAAATGTAGTTTAATTGTACTAGTGTTCCTTTATAATTTCACTGAGGATTTTTCTTGAAAAGCCGGGATATAATTGCAATAATTTTGCAAGAAAAACGAAATTCAAGATTTTTAAAATTGAATACCCTAGAATGACCTGAAGTTTCTTATGGAAATTATGTGTGTTTACAAAAATGTCTTGCTTTAACTAGTTGTGTGAGAGAGATAAGCAAATTAAAATTTTACGATAATAAACGATCAAACAAGGCGGCCATTTAACGAAGCAATGAAAATGAAGCGACCAAAATTTCTTGCCAAACATATACACCTATTGTCAAAACCTTTATCATCGCCAAAGGCGGTAGGCGATAGGTTATTCCAACATGAAAATGGTTTCGTTCAATACAAAGAGCATTGAATCAGTCTCAACACTAGGGTCCACAAGTCATTCCAGCTATTTTCTTTGATCTTTGAATGACCTATTTCCTATCGCTTTTCGCCTATTGCCTATCGCCTTTAGCGATGACAACCTTCATTGATATAGGTGTATACTCTGACTATTGCATCTTAAAATCATTGCAATCCCGCTATATAGCTTTAGCTGTTGGGAGCCGACTTCCGCGTTCGTACACTGAGTATTTTTTTCCAGTGTCACCAGGGTTCTCAGGAAGTGCATTACGTTAATGAAATTTTAAGATACAACTTCTTTTCCCACTTGAACATAAACAACCTTTTCCACTTGAACTAGCAGTCGTACTATAAAATATATAGATGCCGCAAAGCAAAAAACTGACTCGTTGTTTTGGCTGCGAATAAGAGAAACGGACGTCGGTGTGATTTGTTGTCAGTAAGCTTGAATGGGGCAAAGAACACATCAAAAAACGCAAAAGACCGTTTGAAACAGTTCATCTGATTATTGACGACTCTTAAAACTCCAGTGTATGCGGATCCAGGAATTGCTTGCTTTGTTATTGTAATTTCTGCATAGGGGGTATGTTATGATCAGTTTACATTTGTTTGCTTATATAGGTGGCTTGCCATCGCGCGATCGTCAAAGAATGCCACCTGCGCGAGCTTGCAGAGGGCTTTCCTTTGTTCTGGCTTTAAGTAAATCAACCTCTGCTTGCAGGGAAAAAAAGATTCAAAAAAGTTGAACAAAAGTCATGCCTGCATTTGGCTGAACGAGAAATTAAATTTAAAAAAAACTTTGTTAACTCGTCAAGCAACATGCCGGCCATGACGTCACTTGAAAACCACCAATGCGCCGTTCAAAATGTGAACCTACTCCTTTGAAATGCATTCGCATCACAATGAACAGCGGAAGCTCCATCCATCGAAGAACAGTGAGACACGGGAGACATTTTCCGTTTACTAAAAATAAATTAAACAAAATATGTTCCCTACTGAATTTGGTTTCATAGTAATAATGACTCAGAATGTAGAAAGTAGACGTTTAATTATCTGCACTTAACCGTAGCACCGTGTCTCGATCAGCGTTCACCAAAAAGTGCTTACGGAAAAACGAAGAAAAGCAGTCTGTTCAGTTTTCGATTAGTACCCAAGAAAAATCTCGATTGAAAAAAAAAATGCTTTCAATTCCATAATATAACTACCTACTAATTCGTTAATGACTTGAAGTTATTTCTCCGGGAACTTTTTTTGACAATGGGTATACTAGCTCTGCTTCTGTTTTCTATACATAGTTTAAGAAGGTATTTAACGTTTAGACATGCTGATATTCAGTTAAGAAGAAATAATTCGTTAAGTTCCATCAGGGAACAAGCGAGCGGCTAAAAGTGCAACAAGCGACATGCCCGCTAGCACTAGATATCACTACTCTTTAACGTTACAAAAGATGCTTTCGGGAATGAACCTTTGCGCGGCCTCTACCACTAGGATCTCTACTCCATGTCTCGAAAGAACCTTTGCTTAAAATGAAGCGCTCGCGAACTAACTAAACGGCCTTCTAATACTACTTCACGCAGAGGAGATTGAAGATTGGATTTTTCATTAAATCGACGTTAATAAATAGAGGGAAATTAAAAAGCCAAGGTCTATTTTATTTAATAGTTAGAATGGTAGAATGTTAAGAAAATTTTAGTTTGAAATTGAACCCAGTAAAATTTGTTCGTGAAAATTAAATCATCAGTTATTTCCTCTCACAAATGCGGTTACCTCATCTTTGTTTTAACTTAGTCATCTATTCCTTTTTCTTTTTCTTTTTTAAAAAAACTTACGAAACCCAACGTCATTACTTGTCATTGTTAGTTGATGACGTTAAGATACACTTGTATACACTTATAGTCTACCTAACAATCTCTTTTTCAATTGCCCTGAACTTAAACAAATGTCGTGTTTATTGTAAATTTATCATCCCCAAAATGAACTTTAAAATTCAAGTTTTGTAAAAACAAAAAACAAAAAAAAAACCCAAAAAGGCAACAAAAAACAGTACAAGCTAAATTATTTCTAAATAAAGTCAATTAAACAGTATTTCTTTAAATTTCGCCATCTTTTATTTCATATTTGCCTTTTTGTCAAAGTATAAACACCGAACAGCCTAAATTTAATTTTGCAGATTCTTATTAATTTGATTATTAACGATATCAAAACTTTATTGAGTTTACTGACTTCTTGATAAATTAACCCCGAACACAAGATAGACACAAAATAAACACCTAGAACTAGAGATAACTAGCTAAAAACTAGTGTGAGATGCGTCGGTGTTTCTAATGAAACAGTAATGATRAAARGGTAAATTWTACACCGTRAAAAGATGAAAAAACKTACTGACGTTTCGGACGCTAGTCCTTCGTCGGAGTAAAAGAGGTACTCCGACGAAGGACTAGCGTCCGAAACGTCAGTAAGTTTTTTCATCTTTTCATGGTGTAAAATTTACCCTTTTATCATTACTGTTTTATAAATATAGGATAGTTTGTGTGTTGGCACGCGTTGCCAAATTTGCTTGATTGATCAAGAAATATTAGCTCCAAGTTAGGGTTTTAAAAATAGAGTAAAGGAACATTACATCCCAATCTCGACTTGGGACCGTTTTTTCTTGTTCACTCAAGCGAATTCGGGAAAGGTTTATTTCTTGTCGGATAACAGAGTCATCTATGATATAGTTAGGTATGCAATTTCATTTTGCCAAGGTGAAGGTATTGCAGGCACCTTTTAGTTATCTTTCCATTAAGCACGACTGATCAACTCGATTACACGCACTTGCACCTAACACATACGTTGTCAATTAGTACCACACCAAATATCAAATCCCACCCAAGAATAAAAATAAAACGAGCAAAAGCATTGAAAAAAACTAGTGTATCTAATTTCGGAAGAGAAGCGCATTTCCTTGTTGCT